CTGCTGTGCCTGGTGCTCAACTGAAATTTCAACACTGCTTAATTTTCAATGTGCTCTTGCCTGCATGCCCGCATAATTTCCAACGCCTTGCTTGTCGCCCAAAATCTACTCAAGGCACTGAAGTAAACTAACATGCGATGATCATCACGGGGTGGCTGGGTGCGATGCTTTGCCACAGCGCAAACTTGCACCAGGTCTCCTCTAACCAGCAGCTGGGCTAAGCGCTGTACAAGGCTGGTGACATCAATCACGAGTCCTTATAGCTGGCGTAAAGTATCAATCAAAGTTGAGCATGGGAGAATTTATGGTTATGAACCCTGCCTTGTCCCAGTAAAGTTTCTTAGTTTGAGTCTCGACCAAAATCGAGGCCGACTTTGTTAACATTCTGCTGCGAAAGCAGGTCAACCCTCCATCGTAACAAGTACCCACGGGGGTGGGTGGTCGTACCTTGCTTAAGCTTTTGGATTGGGGCTCTACCCACTTTAATCGCTAAAATACGCGCTGCGGATTGAAGCGTGAAAACAAGCATTCTGGTAGTAGGCTGGGCGAGTGGAGGGGCGCAGGATAAAAATTTGCCGTTTCAGCGGGCGTATATACCCCTAGAAAAGGAAGTAGTGGGAGTATAGGTAAAAAATGGGTTGAAATGGTGGAAGTAGAAGGAAATTTTCGGAGATATTTACCGTTTCAGAGTGACTATACCCCCCCCCCGCTCGACGGCATTTTTGGAGGAAAAAGTGGGCGGGGTTTGGTGAGTGGTATCAGAATTAAAGGCATCCCCAGATCGCACTGGTGTGGCTCTTGCACACGAATGTGAATGTACGGTGCCAAGTGGGCCGGCAGTGAAGAAAAAAGGAAAAGAATCCGTCGAAAACGCTCAGGTTGAGGTTTCACTCCCTTCCTAATTGGCTGTGCTAAAGGAACGAGAGACTAAGCGCGAAGAGGAGAGTATGGGGCGAGAGAGCGCATCAGATGAGAGAGCACCAGACAACGGCCTGATAAGAGAGCTCGTTCGCTGCAGCTCGAGCAGCTTACTTTGCAAGCCCAAAGCGTTCTTGTCGGTCGAATTCCGTGCACGTGAACGCCACATTTGTGATTGTCCCCTAGGGTTCTATACTTCTGACCGAAGAGAAGAGTTATAAAAAACCTCTCTTGCTGTGCCTCCTTAAGTACTATAGAGACTACTGATGTCGCGGCGAGATAGGCTGTGGAAAAGGGGCGCCGTCCGTAATCAAATCCACCTTGGGAGGGGGGGCGTCGTAAAAATACTTCCAGCAAAGTCCACACCAGCATAGGACCGACCCTGTGGCGAAGTGCTGCGAAGGACATCAGTCCTCATGATCTTTTTGAAATCAGGAACAATCAGAAACAGAACAGATCTTCAGCGATTCTCGTCATTTTCTTTGCTTCTATTCGTCCACTATATTCCTTTACAAGAATTAGGTCTCAAAATTCTTTCTTGTGGAGGGAAAAGCGAGGGAAAGAGAGAAGAAAAAGTTTTGGGGTTTCTGGTTATGCAAGCCTTCTACGCAAACCTGGTTCCGACGCTCGGCTTCTTTGAAACACAGAGCTCAAAGGACGAGCCATAACTATGATGAGAGCAATTCGACTCGTTTATCACAAGGAGTTCAATCATGCCAATTTTTTTTTTCATAAACTGATTAGGAAGAAATTCAAATCTCCCATGTTGCTCAACAAGCTTTTCATAGACAATCTGAGTGAGGCTCAGCGACAAACGTTCAATCGAATGGAAAGCCCCAATCGCGTTTCCAGTACACGAAAGACAGTGATGTTGACGATGCTACGTGAAGCGAAGTGTTTTGAAGTTTTTTATTCCAGGCTTAATAGTTTGCCTTAACAGATAGCTTGGTAGGTCGCTCTCTTCAAATGTACAGTGCCGCTTACCTATGTACAGTTTCCTAACTTATTTGATATTTATTGTGTTTTTTTTCAAATCCTCGCGCCACCTTGAGCTCAGGTTCTTTTCTAAATACGCTGAAAGGCTGGAAAATTTCTCTATGACATTCGTTAGTGAATTTGTTCCCTCATTCTTTCATGGAGCTTTATTGCAACCCACTGGTAAAAGAAACCTATCCAAATTTGGAAGTGATGGCCGAAAGTTAAGGATATAGTTAACTCACCTGTTTGAGGAGTGTCAAATTATAGAGTTGGAACAGCTATTTGGTGAAGGGGTTCATGTTTTCAACAGATCTGGCAACTTTTCAAAACGCAAATTTTATAGTTTTCTATGTGAAGCATGATTCAATGCTACGCGAATAGTAAGTCTTCTGAGTAACTTATAACAGCTTGGGATTACGGTACCCTCAATGTGATCGTAATTTGATTGAAGGATAGATGATAGAGGGAACGGCCATGTGAAGCTTGATTTTGATTTTATTATATCTTACCGTAGTGAAAAAAGCCCTTGACGGTGGGCGGAAATACGTATTGTTTTTCTGGAATGTTGCCAATGATTGCGGAAGCGGTCATTCTTTTTCTATCAACACCGTGTGTGGGCTGGGCCACGTCACCGCCTCGGACGTTTGCTTTGTGTGCTCATAATGGTGAGGTCATCTGAAAAGCCTACGCCCCCCCCCCTCTCAGAATGTCATACGCGTTCTCCGGTATTTTAAATAACCCCTGCAACAACGGCTTTATTTTTAAACTTGGCGTAACCTTGGAGGAATCTCTAATTTTTCAAAAACTATTGACGGTTAAGGCGAAAATGGTCGGACCCGTGCTATTTCCCCAATGCAAGTGTCGTCAAATCAAACGATGTTCTCGAAAAACCATGAAATCGTTCTCATAATTTTTTTCGGTCGAATTAATTCTGCAGTCGTCTGTTTCCCCCACGAATTAATTGTTTAGTAGATGTGGGGCTGATATATCCTGAAAACATTCGCTTTTCGAAATATTTCTCTGCCATTTATGCGAAAAAAAAACTTGGCATATGGCCAAAATATATAATTCAATAGTTTGGTAATATAATCGTTAACAAATTAGATAATTTCATGGTTTATATGATGATTTAAATTTTGAGATTTTCAAGCCAAAGAAAGATTAGTTGTGTCAAATAGTCAAATAATTTTGTCAAAATTTTATAGTTATGATGACAGTTCCTCCTAAATTGTTTTATATGTGTCTGCTTTTTCCAGTCTTTGATGTAGTAATTGTGGCTGTGAGTCTGCTTTCTTATTTCACTCAGACCCATACTTAAGAGTAGGTGTTGCACAAGCGGTCAATATGTACTTGATTTTCGTCCGTGTTATGTCAATCAGGTCACGGTGCGACAGCGCGCGTATCTCTGGCGTGCCGCGCGCGGCGAAATCATGCGGTAATTGATCTAGTTCTGCGCGATATCTGGCAGGCGTTGCGCGGCTGTTGCGTGCGATATTTATGGCCAATTGAGCCAGCTTCATTTCGCGTAGCGCGTGGATCCATGAGACGTGTATGAGATGATTTGTAGTCTGAAGTGAGCTGCAAGCGTGTGAAAGGGAGTGTTTAACGAGTTGGTGTATTTAAATTTTTACGCCGCACGCGGCCGCGTGTGCGACGCCGCGCCGTGACTCGAGGAATTCAGTTAGATTTTGCATGCAGCTCAGGGTCGAGTAGAAGTAAGAAAGTAGACTTTTTGTGGTAGCACTGTCGGTTGCGCTTGAATACATTACATATACAGGGGGGCCAAAAAAAAGACATTTTGCCTCCACTTCCAGATGGATTTAAGCACATTTTACTCAACTCAGACCGAACGGTTCCAACTTATTATTAAAGAGTGCATTCCATTCTATAAGAAAATCTTCATAGTGGCCACGTACGTGGACGGCATCAGAAGAATTAGCCCTGGAAACATGGTGCACTGGTCGATCTCAATGGGGTCTTCGAAGGATCGTGTACCATAACGACCCTTACTGGAAAGCTAGTTCCGAGGGGATTTGCACAGTGGTAGCTAATGCCTCTAGAAAACTATCCAACATTAAATCGATTCACGAAATTGCGTAAGAGCTTCAGGCTGAAGCTCTTACGGTAGACCTCCTTGAGCCTGACGACGGTGACAGATGACGTCATATTCTGAAGACGGTGAGGGCAGTGAAGGAGAGCCTGCGTACACTAATAGAGGAACACTTAGGGAATACTCTGCTGAGGAACTCCCGTCAACGACAGCAATCTCTGCGAAGAAAAAAGAGCCGAAGTCCGACATAGGCAAAATGTCTTTTTTTTGGCCCCCCCTGTAGTATTCAAAGAAATTGATAATTACGTTTATTTCCTATGTGCGTCAATACATTTGCTCCTGTTATTTTCCGTTTTCCTATGTATAGAACTGTGTATAGTTACCTAACTTTTCCTCGATGGTTGAAAGATCTCGAATTTTGCCAAAGATGGCCGCTTGTATTTTGTGATTGATCTCATTTTGAAAGTCCTTGTACTGTCGGGGATGTTATTCGTTCATTTGGATACGTAATAAATAATTTAAACGAAAAGAATCCACTGGTTTACTGGTTGGGTGCCATTGATATTTGTTCGTTCTTGTGCATGTTATTTTCACTGGTTCGTGATTTTATCGTGCGCACATCTTGCCTCGACTCCTAACAACTCAAGAATGTTGTCCAGCAACTTTGTAATGAAAGTTTTTACTCCTTCAAAGATTAAATAATCAACTAGAATGGCCGATTGAGTCTATGCGACCATCGTTTTCATTGATTTTTCTCAGATACGTCTTCTAACAAGGATTCGCTCATCTTTTTCATCTTTTTACGCAGTATACATTAGAAGGTTTGGAAAGTTTCACACCGTTATTAGATTGACCTGAAATGATTTCATTTGTATGGGCTGTTGAGGTCCTTAGGGCTCACTCAGTAACTAATGAAACCTTCAGGACACCTCTGTTACATAAGTTCCTTCTTTAAATCCTTCCTCATTCACGCTCATTTTGCAAAGTAGTGTTATTTGAAGATCCTAGAGCAATTGGTTTATAACTGATGTTTGCATAATAGCAGCATCTCAGGATGGAGGGTGAACCGAGGGAGATGAAGCCTGGTTTCTACACGGTCGAGCTGAATCGGACAGTGTGGGCGGTGCCAGTGTACTATCAGAACCTTACTCCAATTGGCACAGGAGCTTACGGAACAGTTTGGTACGTTATTTCAGAAGCTAACATTATAATAGCAAGTAATTCTGATCAAAATTAAAAAATAACCTTGAAATCTGGAAATTCTTCACAAATTCTAAATTTAAAATTAGGTTTTTTTCTGTCTTTTTTCTTGCTTTCCTTCCTTCTTTTTCTTTACTTCTTTTTCCTTACTTCTTTCTTCCTTTTTTTTCTATGGAGTCATGGAGTGAGCTGTGATGGTTGTGAGATCCAGCTCACTGAGAAACCTGGCGGGCAAATGAGGTGCGTGCTCGATGAGTTCACGGCGGGAGCGCACGCGAAAGGCGAGCAGTGATCAGCGCCATATCTCTTCTACTCGTTACCTGTCACAAGTAGTTACCGTAACTCCAGCGTGAGGATTTGAACCTCTCCATCTGAAGTTCTATTGGGTGTTTTATAATTAAAATCATATGTATAAATGAACTTGTTTCTCTCTGATGAGGGCAGATCTGTGGCAAGCGAAAATATCGTACTGAATTTTATTGTAGGTAACTTTATTTCACTTTTATAAATGTAAGTTATGGTTAATCGACATTAAGGCTTGAATCTCCAGTGAACTAATAATGTTGCAGCGCCGCAGAATGTTTACGAACGAACACTCGTGTGGCTATCAAGAAGTTCAATCGACCATTTCAATCAATTATTCATGCGAGGAGAACGTATAGGTGCTTAAAATATTGATTCTCATTTTCAGATTTTGTTTTCAAATTAAAAATGTAAGCTTTGTTTGATGAGTAAACGGTTTTGATCTTTTTGTATCTATTTGTTAGCCTAATCTTTTGTGCTCAAAAGGGATAGCATGGTGAAGGGTTTCAGAAAAGGAACCTGGTGTCGTGAGAGGTAGGGAGGGGAATAGTTTCTAGGGTTATATGTGCTTTTCTAGTGTGGAGTTCTTTTTTCCCACATTACCCTTTTTCTTCGCTAGGGTTCATTCCTGCTCCAAGTGCTGCCTTTCCTTCCTTCAGCAACTAGCAGAACACTTACACCGATCTCCTCGATGTTCTAAGTCTCTTATGGAGACGCTGGTGGAGCAATTGCCACCCGTGGTGCATCACCTTTTTACAACCTACTATTAAAGTCGAGGAGTTTTTGTGGAGTCATACACAGTTCCTGCCTTTCTGAGAAAAAAAGAAGCGGGGATAGCGTGAACGAGTACGGTCAATCTCATGAAATGCACCACACATTTGGTCTTCTTACAAGAGAAAAAAATGGATTTCGATGCATCTATCATCTGCAGTGCAGTGATTTGCATAGGCTAGCCAGTGTTTAATTTAGGGCTCTTATTACCTCGGGGAAAACATGTACCAGATAGGAGGAATGGTATGCCAAGGGCTGGACTGAGTGCAAACTCTAATTGCGGAGGTGGTTCCCTCTACTCACCCTACTCTGGTCTTTGGCATATACAGTTTGGATGATATTCTTCATATACATTTGAAAATATTGATTACTTCAGAGAGCTGCGCCTTTTACGTGGGATGGATCACGAAAATGTTATCGATATGCTAGATGTATTCACGCCTGATGCCAGTTGTGAACAGTTGACAGATGTGTAAGTTTCTCCTAAAAGTCTAAAATCAGAAACTGCTTGAAAATTTCCGTCAAAGCATGAATTCCAACCGGTATTTCCTTCAGGTATTTTGTTTCGATGCTCATGGGTGCTGATTTGTCCAATATTCTCAAAATTCAACGACTTAATGATGACCATATTCAATTTTTAGTCTACCAAACACTTCGAGGCCTCAAGGTGAGTATTACACACAAGGATATGGAAAGATTAACATTAAGCTATATGCATAATTATAATGAAAGAGATGGTTTTTGTGAATAAATTTCGTAATTCTAAGGGAGTGAAAACCTTTGAGAGGGGAGGAAAATTTTTTGAAAAAAAAACTGGTGTGTTTTAAGAGCAGATTCATTTCATTTAATTGTCTAAGGAAGACACCAAAAAGCGCTGTATCATAAGTTCCGGATGTTCACTACCATAGATTTTTCAGTATATTCACTCCGCTGGCATAATTCATCGTGATCTTAAGCCTTCCAACATTGCCGTTAATGAGGATTGCGAGCTAAAGGTGGGCATTGCTAGGCATTTTAGTTTTAATAATTCTATATCCATCTGAGGAACAAAGTGATTAAAAGTAATTTTGGCTTAAGATCCTGGATTTTGGCCTTGCGAGACAAACTGACAACGAAATGACAGGGTATGTGGCGACTCGATGGTATCGAGCACCTGAGATTATGCTCAACTGGATGCATTATTCGCAGACAGGTCACTTAAACGCTTTCTTTGTTGACCTCTATTTCTCTATCGCTTTATTGAAATACTTTTTGGCTTTTTGCATAAGTTTCTGAAATATGCGACATTGTGTCATGAGCGTAAAATGTTCTGGCACCCATTCTACTTTAGCATCTTCTTTTTTTGCCTTTTTAGTTATGTTCCGTTGCTTTGGGTCCATCCAATCTCAGTGTTTTGAGAATACCCTCACTTGATCCAGCCGGTATTCTTGGCACTGAGTAGCTCCATTCCTAGCTATTCCATGTTCTTCTTTTTGGACTTCAATTCCTTTTTATGACTTACAGATGATCAGTGCATTGTATAAAAGAAAATTACCTGCACTGATTTTTTTTAGGAGTGAACGGTCTAACAAAGATTTTTAATCTGCATTAAAAGTATTCGTTTTCAGTCGACATTTGGTCAGTCGGATGCATTCTGGCTGAGCTCATTACTGGACGAACGTTGTTTCCTGGCTCAGATCGTGAGTTTTTTTTTGTTTTAAGAGATTTTTGAATGCTCAAATTTGTCGTTTTATCACTGCTCATATGATAATATATCTATGTGATTACTCATCTCGTCACTCTTCTTCAGATATTGACCAGTTGACGCGAATAATGAATATAGTTGGGACGCCGAACGAGGAATTCCTAGCCAAAATTCAATCTGAAGAGGCGAGAAACTACATTAGGTAGGAATTTAGTCCTTCTGCATAGGGGGTGCAAAGGGCAGACGCTGAGGGCAGCCATGGCATCTGTGATTGGTCATCGGAAGCTTGCACCATTCACGGCGCAAGCCGCACTTCTCAGCAGGCACCTTAATTGGACACGAATGTAGGTGGAAATACTGCCTGGTCAAACACTGTACTTTTAAACTAAAATTGGTGAATTCTCTTCCGAGTTCATGTTCGTTCTCAGGGAATAATAGCATATAATTTTCGTAATAGCATACGAATGTTCTGTGAAAATCGAAATGCAGAAGACCTCTTGGTAAATTTTGTGAAAAAGCAGGATCGAGGGCTCATGTCACCGATCTCTTTTGAAGTGTATTGTTTACAGGAATCTTCCCAAAATGCCAAGGAAGGACTTCAAGAAGTTGTTCGCCACAGCCAGCCCCGCAGCTATAGATTTGTTGGAGAAGATGCTTCAATTAGATCCCGATTACAGAGTGAGCGTTGTTCAGGTTTATTTTTCTTTGAAAATGTGGCAGTGTTTTGACTCCATACTCATATCAGAACAATTTTGGTAATATTATATTTTCTAAAGTTCTCCTTGTCTTTAGAGACGAGTTTTTATAAGTTTAGGCCAACTGCGGCTGAGGCTATGGAGCATGAGTATTTGGCTGCTTATCATGACGCATCCGATGAGCCGACATCAGAAGTGTTAGATTTGGACGAAGGTGTTGAGACGACAAGTATAGACGAATGGAGGAGATTGATTATGGGAACGAGATTGAAGATTTTGCAGTGAGTTCCCGAGCTTTTCTTTTCGCAACCTCGATATGGTAGCTGTAATTCTTATCGTTATTGTTTTTGAGTAGTTATGAGGTTGTTGTGAGGTGGATTTCTTGTCCGGTTCGCTGAAGTTTCGGGAAGATTTGGACTGCTCCCTCGTTTACATAGGCGACTACACTTTTCTAACCAGGAAGGTCTTTCAGGGCGTGACGAAGCTTTTTGAAAACGGTCTTTTGCATGATATAGGGGCAGATGCGGGAACCACAGAACCATGTTTAATTTTTCCTGAACGGCCCTCTGAATACCAGAAAAGGGGGTCCCTAGTTCGATTCCTCGTGGTGACAAATTTTTGCATTTCGAGTTGACGTTTAAATTCAAGTATTTTCAAAAGGTTACTGACGGTCCTAATCATGAATATGGTACTAATTATTCATGCTAACTCCATTTTGCGCGAATTTTGAAACGTCAACTCGAAATGCAAAAATTTGTCACCACGAGGAATCGAACTAGGGACCCCCTTTTGGTATTCAGAGGGCCGTTCAGGAAAAATTAACCATGGTTCTGTGGTTCCCGCATGTGCCCCTATATCATGCAAAAGACCGTTTTGAAAAAGCTTGGCACGCCCTGAAAGACCTTCCTGGTAAGCAAATTGGTCCGCTGCCGTGTCAGAGCCTTAGTCAGCAGTAACTTCAAATAAAACTGACTGACTGCAACTGCTAGCTGTAAAGTTATACCCTAGCGCTCCAGCGTGGCAGCGTATTGAACAAGCGGAGCATAGTCTGGAACCAATTACCCGATTCGGAAGCGATGGAATGGTTGGTTGGCTTGAGCGGATTTCGATCTGGGAGTAGGCTCCTGAGCGTGGGGAGCAGCGCCGTTCGCCTTTGTATCATTTCTGCTCAAATCTTCTCAGCAATCAATAATGCCTTTGTTTTCAGGCTCAACGAGAGTCGGCTAACCATACACCCTCTCCAAGTATGGATGAAAGCTAGTCTGATTTTGATGGCGGTCTGAAGCTGATCTACCGCTGAAGAATCTCTAAACTCAGAGCTCATACTCGTTTTAAGTAGGTGCCGATATTTTGCACAATCTCGTGACGACACTCATTGCTAGTCGTTCTTCTTCGTATCGCTGACGATATTTTGCCATGAAGGTGTTCACTTCTTCGAAGGCGTCTAGAACATGGCGTACACTAGCGCAATTCCCAACAGCCGTCTTATTTTTTATATTCAGTTTGTTTCTATAGGAAGTTCTTGTACATATTGATTCGTGTCTGCTTATTTATAGGTTTTTTGATTGAACTGAAGGTTTGATGAGTTAGTCATTAGATTTGTTGTGATTGTAATAAAGCGTGACACTGAAAAGAGATTTGTAAGCTCCAATACAGGAAAGGTCTTTCAGGGCGTGGAGCTTTTTTGAAAACGGTCTTTTGCATGATATAGGGGAGATGCGGGGACCACAGAACCATGTTTAATTTTTCCTCTGATGAACGGCCCTCTGAATACCAGAAAAGGGGTCCCTAGTTCGATTCCTCTTGGTGACAAATTTTTGCATTTCGAGTTGACGTTCCAAAATTCGCGCAAAATGGAGTTCTGATTGTTCTGGTTGGTTCTAACTCCATTTTGCGCGAATTTTGGCACGTCAACTCGAAATGCAAAAATTTGTTACCACGAGGAATCGAACTAGGGACCTCCTTTTCTGGTATTCAGAGGGCCGTTCAGGAAAAATTGAACATGGTTCTGTGGTTCCCGCATCTGCCCCTATATCATGCAAAAGACCGTTTTCAAAAAGCTCGTCACGCCCTGAAAGACCTTCCTGGTAAGTTATTTTCGTTTGTAGCATTTCCTGTTTTCCAACCTTTTCCTATGTTTACAAGAGGAAAAACATGATTCGCAAGTCAAAGACTGGGGAGGAAAGTAAATAAACGGGCTGAGAGCACGGAAGAGTCAAGTACAAGAGTTCAGGCTTGCCGCTGATTGGATCACCCTAGTTCTAATATTTTTGTGTCCTCATGCTCATGTCCTCTCATTAATGGCCATAACTCGTTAACTAATCGTCTATTCTG